ACAAATATTTGACTCATAATGAAATGCAAGTCAAGTATCTAGTGAATATTTATAAAATGTAAAGACAAAATAAATATTATAGAATGTAAGAAAATGATTAAATGATTAGGTAAATCATTGCAATGCCCACATTATTTTATAATTTGATTCTTGAACTCTTTTAAAAATATTACACCCTTCTATGCCTAAATTATAGCAAATTTAAAAAGTTTTGTTAACTATAAAAAAATCACAAAGGGCCAAAGTGTAAACAAGGGAATCATTAATGGAAAATATAAAATGACAAAAATATGTTTTTAAATCCTCATAATTTCTTTCTTCTTTGTTTATAGTTCCTATAGTTCTTGTAATTTTTATTTTGATATAAAAGTTAATTAAATTATTAATCTATTTTATGAATAAATAGATTTTATTAAATATTCAAATTTCATTTTCATCTTATGTGAATTTAGAAATTTAGAAAATATTTAGAAAAAATATATAAAAATCTATTGGATTTAATAAAATCTATTTAAAATTTATTCTTTGGTAAAATTATTTGTAAAATGCTTTTCTGTTTTTAGAATGCTAAATGTATATTTTACATCTTTTATATAAAAATATTTAATTTTCATAAGGTCTTCTTGATTAGTTTATTAAAAGGTGCCACAAAGTATGTATGTATATTAGACCCTTTAGGCAATTATAAATCTTAGAAACCAATTCTAATTGCTTAAAAAAAAATATATTTCAATGCTATTTCTTTTCTTTTTTTTTCTTAGTTTAGTCAATCTATCATAAAAAGCAAAATGAGGTAAAGTAATCTTGGAATTTTTTTTTAACATTTTAATCCCTAAAATAAGAGAAAAGAGAGAAAGTTATCATATTCTAGTTGAAAAGAGAAAATTATGAGATGACATCAATTTTAGCTATGAAAAATCAATCTTGGTGTTGCTGGATTTCATTTAATGAGATGAGTTCAATGATGATAAATTTTTTATGTAAAAATCCATGTAGATCTAGGCGTTGAAAGTTTTTTCAATTCAAATTGATTTTTTTTGTTTTATAACCTATTTTGTGTTCATTGATGCCACAAATATATTTATTTAGGTTTCTAGGGAGTTTTATTATATATTTTGCTAAAAACCGGTTTGAAAAAAAAAAATTAAATAAAAAAATTAAACCCCATTGTTACCTTTGTGATTGTCGAAACCTAGATAGTTATATGTGGTGTCGTCTAGGGTTTTTCAAAAAAATTAAAGAGACTGGATTTACCCCGTTAAAAAATAAAATAAAAGGTTAAGCTGGGCTAGAAATCCCACATACCTAGGGTTTTTTTCACAAGCCTAGGCGTGCTTAGCTACAAGGTCGAGCTGGCGCATTTAGTTTTTTATTTATTTATTAAATTAGTTTTTTAATACAGTTTTTAGGTATTTTATTTTCATTTTAGTTTTAAACAAATAATTTTTTATTTGAAGGATGTGAAAATAATATATAAGAGAAAGTTTGAATGTACAAAGGATGCAAAAGTTTAAAAAAAGAATTTAAAACTTTTATTTCATTAGATATTTGAATTGTTTGTTAATATTTATTGTTTATTTTCATTAAAAAAAACCTAATTAGTTGTGCAAAGATTAATAATGAAAGATACATTCAAATATTTAAAATAAAATTATTTTAAAAAACATAATGTTAAAATATAATAATAAATATATTCACCATATGAAATGTATAAGCAAAAAAATGATTAAAGCATTATTTAATTAATTTTTAATGATTAATTAAATAGTTTCAAGAAATTACAAGAATGAAATTACATAAAGCTTTTTTAAGTATATATTAATCGAAAAAACAAAACTTTACATAATTACTATATGTATAATATATTTTGATATTTAATAAATAATTATTTTTTTTGCTCATTTGCCTACGCAACCATGATTTTTTTATTTTTTAATATATATTTAATTTTAAATTAATATTTATATTTTCTTATTATATAACTAAATAAAAAAAATATAATTTAAAGTCTATAACTCTTATTATTAACTCAAAACAATTTGATATATTTATAATTCTAATATGTATTTAAAAACGAAACATCTAATAATATTTTTATCTTTAAAAATTTTTGATCCAATTAGCAGTAAAAACTACTTTTTAAAAATTTCAATCTTCATTATCACCTAACACAATCCACAATCCAGTCCCAACCAAGAGACTAAGGGCTTCAGGAAATCCACTCGTAAAGATGGAAGTTGACGAGAAATTATTCGCGACAAAACAACTAAAAGTGCGAGGGAATAGTACTGTACCATACCGCGCAAGCGAAAAACATGAGGCTGCCGACATCTCCAGCTTACACGTTATTACCAGTTTTATTTACTTCGAATTATTTAACTTCGATTGGTAGGGTACGCCAGGCCAGTGCAGCAGTGCAACGCAGAGGCGACGCGCGAAGACCTCAGCAGCAAGCTACTGTACTAGGCCTCCCCCTTGAAAAAATAAATTTAATATCGTGTGGGCCATTGGCCCACGTATCAGATATTAAACTGATAAGAACAGATACTACACTTGATCTTAGCCAAAAGGCCGAGAAAGGTATGCTTTTAACTGGCTAACGCTTCTCTTTTTATAGACTACGTACACGCGTATTTTCAGTTATTTTCGATGTGGGATATAAAAACCCTGGAAACGCAGCACAAGCACTAGACAGCAGCAGCTAGGGGTGTTAAAAAAACCGAAAAACCGATTAAATTGAGAAAACTAGAAAAAAATTGAAAAAATTGAACTGAAAAAAAAACCCGATTAAACCGATTAAAATTTTAAAAAAATCAGCCAGTTCAGTTCGGTTTCGGTTTTATAACCAAAAAACCGAAAAACCGAACCGAACCGAAACCGGAAAAAAAACCGAGCCAAACCGGAAAAACCGAGCCAAACCTGAAAAACCGAGAAAAACCGAGCCAAACCGAAACCGGTCGGTTTGACCCGGTTTCGGTTTGGTTTTGGTTTTTTTTTCCGGTTTGGTTTCTTTTTTTTTATAAAAACCAAACCGAACCGAAAATAAACACCCCTAGCAGCAGTCAAGATGCGATACGAAGAGTGTGTTTTACATTATGTTTTTTTTTTAAATTAAATTTTTTATTTTTTATTTATTTTAAAATAATATATTTTTAAAATTTTTTAAATACACTTGAAAAGCAAGGTGGTGTGCCCTTTGCCTTGGCTCAGATCCTGTGGCTTAGTGAATTTCAAGCTGCTCCTCCTGCTTAGCTCTTTCTGTGAGCTGTGGATTTTGCCCTTTGTATCCTTCTTCCATTGACCAAAAGTAAGAGAAGCAATACAATTTCTACACTCAGAATTAGTGGGGATTACATTACAGTTACAAATTTTGAAGAATAAGGCACCTTGTCATTGTTTCCAGGAATTAAAGATTAATAAAGGTCATGTGATCAGAGTTAATTATTTACAAGAACAGGCCAGCCACCACATGGATTAATCAAGTCTTTGCCTTGTCATAGACTTTCTTGCTTTCACTTTACAAGTATTTGATGTGATACTCATCGTTGCCTCCCAGCCATACTTGCCGCTCCAAAAATTTCTCCATTAGGTGGTTTTAACTAGCTATTTAAAATCTGTTTCGTAACATATCAGTTAATTTAATGAAGTAAAAAATTAAAAAATATATAGGCATTTCCAACATTTTTTGATACAAAAAATTTTCTATTATAAATTAAAATATTTACACAAGCATTTAATTACATAAATTGATATTTATTAAGAGATAATATGATAAAAAATATTTAATCTTGCAACATGAATCATATAATCAGTTGTGTTTAATAATTTTATTTTTTAAAATAAATTTTTTATTCAATCAAACAATTATTCATGCCAATAAAAAATTAAAAAAAATCATTAATAAAAATAAATTGAATAAAATTATAAAACTCAATTATCAAACAACCTAAATGTTTAATGGTAAAACTAAAAAAAAAAAAGATCTAGATCAACTCAGGTTAACCCGCTAGTCTATAACCATGAACATAAAATTAAAATAACTCCATAAAAGAATAAAAAAAAATCAATTCCTAAAAAAAGATTGAAGGATAAAACTAAAAATAAAATTAAAAAAAACTTAAAAAATATTAAAGTCAATCTATGTTAACCTTCAAATCTTGTAATCATAATTATAAAATCGAGATTGACTACACTGAAGAAAAACCCCTCAAAAAAACAAAAAAATCTAAAAATAACATTGAGTGATAAAACTTAAAAAAATTAAAAAAATAATAAAATAAATATCTAAATCAACTTAGATTAGCTCACTAATCTCATAAATATAGAATTTGAATAACCTTGTAGAAATTTTTTTAAAAAAACACATAAATATCAATTAAAAAAATAAAATATTAAAAGATAAATAAATCAAATTAATCCATAAAATTTATAATCATGTCATAGGCCTCCCTGTAAAAAAACAAACAAAAAAATAAAATAAAAATCTTAATTTAAAAAAAGAGGAAAAAGCTAAGGTATGAAATTAGAATGCAGAAGGAAAAGGCTTAGAGAAACCGGGCCTTAGAATTATCCGTGTGGCGGGGGGGATTATACATTTTTTAATCAAATAAAAAGTATTAGTGTGTACAATACTGTTAATAATAATAATAATAATAATAATATAGAGAAGGTGGTACTTTTCGTTCAACTAAAAACAAAATCAAGATTGTCAAATAACTTTCAACATTAAAATCACATTTCTTAAAAAAGAATCGTTTTTGTTTTGTTCTGGCGTTGACATCATATTTCTCCAAAATCAAAAATTCGGATTTATTAACAACATTTTAACCTAGGGCCTGTTGGTAAACAGGTGGTTCATATGTTCTTTGCGGATTTTTTATCCGAAACTTTATTTGCGATCGATGCCCTGATGTCCAGACAGTTCTTATAGATACATTGGAAACCAAGTCGCAATCCTCCAGTTAGGGTCCTAACAAGGCATCCAAATGACAGGCTTCAGATATCATATCAATACATTCTAATAGCTACACTTGAACTCAAAAGTTCAAGCCATGGAAATTATCTCACAACTGCAGTTTTCTCATTTCCTAGTTAACTGCCCACAAAGGTTAAAAAATTATAGAGACGGCGAAACCTCAGATGTAATAATAATGATGATGATAATTAATTTATATCTGCAGTCAACATGATGATAATAATGATGATGATGAGCATGAACACACCCATGAGCAGCATGCCATACAGCCAAACCACATTGATGCGATGCATCATAATCACAACCACATCCTGATGCTGAGGTTAAATAATAACCTCTAAATAAATCCAAACGGATTCTGCTGCGGATATCACATCACGGAAGAAAAGGGTTGTGAGAAGGATGCGCCTCTTTCTGCTTTTTGTAAGCCCTGAGAAGCAAAACAATCAAAGATAGATGTGACCGCATGCTCTAAACAAAAGCTTCTGGTTAAAATTTGACAATCCTTTGGGTTGACACTGCTAATCACCTGGTGGCATTTAACCCCCCCAGTCCAACCGTTCCCAGAATAATAAAAAGGAAAGGGATCTGAATCAGAGCACGATTGCTTCTTCCACCATGCGCTCTTGGTACTCCAGTCCTCACAACTCGAGCATATGTGGCTAAACAAGACAGCTCATGTTTGATCGAGTGATGACAGCCAGAAAAAGAAAAGAGAAAACAAAATTGCAAGTAAAAAGGAAATGTTACCTGAAGCTGAATCTTCTCCTTTTGCACCTGCGGTTGCCATACATGAAACTTTTAACAACTCATTCTCATTGGTAGTAAATAGCAGTTCAACTAAGTAACGGCTTCTTAATCTTCTGAACAGGGTGATTAACACATAAATCGTGGTTTGCAAACTCATCTAAATGACATATTCCAATTAGACACTGCAACTGAATGATCTCATGCAAAAAACTCAAGATTGCATTCATTTAATATTTAAAGCAAATGGAATTGCATCTCCAATGCTTGGGTAATTGTTTATCTAAATTTTTAAGGGAACTTGAACTTGACCTCCAACAATCAATATGAATCCATACTTTTAAAGACAAGAGGCATTCATTCATATAAATAAACTGATAACTTAATGAACATGGATATTTAATAAATACTAACTCATCTAAACTTCAGTCACAGCATAGTTTGCTAAACAATATGAGATGTAAGATTATCTGTTACAAAAGCAGCAAACATGTATGCACATCAAATTAGAAAGGGCAGAAGGACATCATTAACAAGTAGACCTGTAGTGCCAACACCATCAAAATACCAAATCAAGAACACACTTAGAAAACACAGAGTCAAGAAAAAATAAATCAAATGAAGCAATTTGATTGAAGAACAAAGACAGAAAATAAAGGTTAGATGGGCTACTTAGTGGGGATCAACTATTATGATTAAGAAATTAAAAAAAAAAAATAGAAATCAGAAAGGAAAGACAACCTGGAAATGTGACAGAAACAATTAGGACTGTACGAAGACCTTAACAATCACATACTGCATAACAAAATACAAGATGATAATCGGTCTATGATATTACCGATTCACTTTGCTATCAAAATATTAAACGTGTATCTCACTGCTTACTCCAGGTTTGATGAGCCACATACATATTAACTAATCTGTCAAATCATCATCAAGAAAATCAAGACCATCATCATCAGTGGTAACTCCTCCAGCAGCAGGAAAAACAT